TATGTTTGAAAAATGAAAAGACGGGTTAGAATCCTATCATCAAGAAAGACGAAGGAAAAGCGAAAGAAAGCATAACATACCCTTAAGCCCATAGCATTCACCTCGTGCATCAAGTCAGCATTGGGAACGGTCCGAAGGGCAACATTCTCGGTTGCGGAGCATAGCATGCTGAACTGTACCAGATCCTCCGTGTCCCCTAGGAGATTGACATCCGAAGAGATCTCAAGAATACGGGTCGAGCCTCCCACACGAACCACCGAGTGAGTAATGCCCTCTTCAAACATCCTGACATCATCAAGGTTGAGGTTTAATTCGGATTCGTAATCATTGACCACCACGCCTTTTCCTCTTTCAACAGCTGAAGAGGAAGCACGACCAACTGTGGAGGACGAGGGTACGTCCGAAATCACAACGGCGGCCCCAAAAACCTGACCTTCCGCCATGATAGGTTGCTGACCGTCGACAATGATGGGAATCTCTAATTGAGCCGAGGCAACGGCTGGTTCCGTCCCCATGGGAAGAGTCACGAAAACCCCCTCTTCATATCCCGTCGAAGGAGAGTCGTTAGATGAATCACTGTTGGGGGCGCTGTCTCGAACTTCACTCGCCGTCTTTTTGATGGCCCCTCTTCTTCCCCAGTAAGTGAAGATTCACCCATCGGGCGAACGACACAGGTCGGAACTTCGGCCTAAGAAGCGGCCCTCGCAGGAGTAACCACGGCCACAGACTCAACTGAAGCAGCCCTTGACGAAGGTCAGGCAGTAGGTACCGTGATATGGTGAGTACATGAGGCTGGCTGCCGGAAAGCTAACGGAGGAGCCCTCACTCTCTGCACCCTCCCTAACACCGACGAGTAGCACGTGAGGAATTAAATACAAAGAGGGAAAGGAGAAAAACGTTGAACAAGAAATGACATCTTACCAGAAAGAGGCCTGTGCCCATACTTGTCATAGAAGGCCTCCCACGTGCGAACCCCCATCGTATGAGGAAGAACAGCGCTCACCCACTCACGGATATTTTCGACAGGTAGGGGAGGCATTTTCTCAACTACAAAGTCATAACAAGGTTTAGTACTGTAACGAAAAATGGTCGGATATATCTCCGACTAAAAGCATGAGACTTACGTGCAAAGTTCCATTTCTCAGGGAACCCCGTCGGATCCGCTACAATGTGTTCAGTCCGCACATAGAAATAATTCTCATAAAAACGATGGTTAGTCCTGTCGTCCATTTTCACCACCAGACTCTTCGACCCCCGAGGGAGCATGTGAAGCATCATGCCGCAGATGAGCTGAGGGGCGAAGATACTGAGCATGTGATCCAAGGTGACCTCAAGACCAGCGAGTTCCACAGACTTGAGCAATATAAGGAACAGCTTGTACAGGTACGACGAAATTTGGGCGGGACATACCTCATAAAAACGGCAGAAGTCTACCACGAGGAGAGGGAGAGGAAGTGTGTATCCAATAAAGAAGGGGTAGGCATAAAATATGCAGTACCTAGGATGGTCAAAGTGAACTATGTCGTTTCCTACCGCCGGTCGCATGTCGATGTAGCCGGGGATCCCCCACCTGGTTTTCAACTCTACAATGTCTTCTTCCCTCATAACAGAAGGGACAGGCTCAGGCTCAGGCTCCGGCTCCGCCCCGGCGCGACTGCTTAAGTAGGTCAATTCTCTCCTAGGGCGAGGCAAAATCTCAACTATCGACGGGACCTCCTCGTCTTCCACCGCATCCACCCCTCTAGTGGCCTGAGCAGCATTTTCCGGTGCCGAAATTGTGACAGGGAGATCAGTGCGAGAGGAATCACCATCCATTTTGTCTAGATGAGGCGGCAAAAGGACAACGGAAAGAAAGGATGAAAATTTTCAGTTAACTAAGGGCAAATGAAAACTTGAAGTGTCAGGAAGGAAGTATATCTGCAGAATTCTTTCAAGTAAAAGGCAAAGAAGTGTGTCAATCGAATAATAAGTTCCTTCTATTTATAGGAGATATAAATCCCCCGAGCACGAAACCCAAGAGTCGTTAATCGAACCTGATAGGGCACGAAACATTTCAGTTCCCCAGGAACGTGTGTCGTAATGGCGGTAACCACTAAATAACGCTTTGATGCCAAACGACATTTCGATTCCGAAACGGCCGCAATGGTCCACGGGTATCGAAAGAACACCGCCATCTCACCTAAAATTCAAGTAACGTAATTAAGGAACGAGAAGTCAGATTTCGCTCGAATTCATAGCAATCATGATCCGTCTGCCGGGCCCGACAGGGGTGGACCTTGACAGACGGAGGGACTAACTGTATTGGTCAAAATCTGACCGTCACGGCTGAGCTGACCAACGTCCCGCACAAGTGACCGAGTAGTAAAAGATAACATCGTCCACCCTACATCCCATTCTCGACACCCGTCGAGTCGGAAGTAGCAATGTCTAAAAGGACGACCAAGGCACACTTAGGTGCGAGGGAGTGTCGGACCAAGTAAATGGCAAGGATGCCTTGACTATATATAGTAGGGAAAAACCCTCGATTGGGGGGGCTCTCCTTCCCTTTCTCTCTCCCAAGTTCTCTTCTTATAATCTTCATAGGAGAGAAGTAATCTGCAGAAGAACATGTAAAGCTATCTCCTCCATCGATTGACGGGAGCCACAGTGTTGAATATCAATAAGATCGATTTTATCTCTTTCATCCTATGTATTATCTATAATATTAGCTCTTTGATCTGGAATTTATTATATCTGACTAATATTTACCCCTTCATTTTCTTTAATTGATTTATTTAAAAAGGTTCCGATATCTTTTGAGTCAAGCAGTTCCCTTGGCTCTTGTCAAAAATATGTGCTGAGCATAAGGAAGTTAATCTAATTGTTGATGTGCCTCTCAGTGCCTAAGCATAATGAAAGAAGGCGAAGATGTTTTCGTTGATGACGCCGATCGAGTTTAATTTCAATTTTAAAGAAAAAGAAGATTTCGTTTTCAGTAACATCACGTTATTTCTTCATAAATTACTTTGTGGAAGACGACTAGCCTGTTTGGCCAAGCTTCTTTTTGGTCAAAAGTGATTTTTTTACCAAAAGTATTTTTGACCAAAAATTGAGGTGTTTGGCCAAACTTTTGGAAAAAAAAAAGTGTTTTTGAGGAGAAGCAGAAGCAGAAAAAGTAGTTTCTCTCTAAAAATATTTTTTTGAGAAGTACGTTTGAGAAAAATACACTTAGAAACAGTTTTTTAAAGCTTGGTCAAACACTAATTGCTGCTCAGAAGTGCTTTTCAAACTAATTAGTCAAACACAAACTGCTTTTCACCAAAAATACTTTTGAGAAAAGTATTTTTGAGAAAAAATACTTCTCAAAATAAGCTGACTTTTGTAGCTTGACCAAACGGGCTAGAAGACGGAGATATTTAGAAGTTTGCAAGGAGACTTGATGAAAGATGTGGTAGAAAATTTAGATATTAATTGAGAAAAACGAGGATGTAACAAAGGTATTACTGCAAGCTCTAGTGCCGCCTTTCTGTTCCTTTTTTTTCTTTTTTTGTAATTGTTCATTCAAATTTAGTGTCTTTCAAAAAGAAAAATGTTAAGAATTTTTATTCCTTATATTCTACCTCCATTGCATTTGCAAAATTTAAAAAAAAATTATGCTAGAGATCAAATAGTATGCCTATCAATTGAAAAAATTTCATCCACATAATCGTATTTTTATACGATATAGAAAAATATTCTAAATTAATAAGAATAATGGTTTACCAAAATTGGAGTTGAAGGGTTGTGTTATTTTAATTAATGTGTTTTCCATATATATTGTCTTAATTGTTTTACTATCAGTATTGCTTTATATATGTATGTCTATGTGTGTGTGTGTGTGTTTGAGTAGTATATTTGAATTTATTTTTAGGCGTGATTTATTTATATTTTAACTTTTTTGCAAGGTGAACCTGAAAGAACTCTTTATATTTGCTTAATGTCATAATTGAAACACTAAGCATTATTCCTTGTATCTTCTTTTTTGGTTTGTTTTTTAATCTATTCGCTTAATATTTTTATAGCATGCATAACGATCATTCTTTGGATTATAACTAAGCTGTGTACCAAATGACCCCTGTGGAAAATTAGGAATTCATCATACAAACCATGTTGTTTTAAGCTTGAGCCACCCTAAGTGATCAATATTGGTATGAGGTATAAGAAGGTATAGTGCTGGTATAAAAATTTAATACCATCTTAATACTTGTTTGGTTAGCAAATCAGGTATAAGTTATCTCAGAATTAAAATTAACACCGGGATAACTTATACCTTATAGAGAGTGGGGTAATTAGCACCGGTATAACTTACACATTCTCCTTACAAATTATGCAATTGTCATATTTAATACAACATACCAAACAATGGATAAAAAATAATCCCAACATAACTTATACCAGTATAACTTATCCCGACATAAGCCGTATTCAAACCAAACGACCCCTTATGGTACTCATTTAATTAAGTTGCATGCCCATCATTATTGTGACAGAAACTACCATTGCTTCCATGCATTTCATATCATATACTTCTTTTCTCCCTATTAGTCATACTTTCCTTTTTAATCTATCCTAGTAAGAACGTCATACTTTCTTATATGGAAATATTTTTAATTTTAAACTTTCTATTTTACCCCTAAAGAGATAATATTATAGTCACAAAAATGTCTATGACTTATTTTAGATCACAAGTTTCAAAAGTCTTCGTTTTTTTCTTAAACTGCATGCCTAGTCAAACTTCTCCCCATAAATTGGGATAGAGGGAGTAATATCTGTCTATTCTTCACTACTCCTCAAAGAATACCACTCAAGTGATCTTTCGCCTTTATTGAGGATCACTGGCTGAATGGTTCTCAAATGGACAATATAGCCATTGCACTCAGATAATCAGATTCAGATAACATAGAAACATAAGTATGTGCTTTTGGCATGCAGCATACCTCTTATTTAGTTATTGTAAATAGTTAGGCATTTTTCAAGGAAGCTGAACATACCAAGGCAAGATCATTTATTTCATCAAAGGAAGTTTCATGTGAAGCCCAAACAAATAAATGTTTAATCAAATCCCTAGGTGACTAAGGTTTCAAGTCAAAATTTAGTTCCACTCACTTGGAGGGGTTAATTATGTTGTACATGCCCGATCTTGAAACAAACAGATTGAGCATATGCACCACTAAGCATAAGGCTCTGGAGCAGACTTTCAGCTTACTTGTTGCTGGTGAGTCCCGTAAATTGGATAAGCCCCGTATGCAGCTGCAGCATACATGGAAGGGTCATGCGGTGGTGGAAAAGCATATCCATAAGCATTATAAAAATGTCCCCCATAGTATGGTCCAGTCCACTGCTTCATAAAATCAGCTCTTGACTGAAAAATCCCACAGCACTGGAGTCAGTAACATAAGCAGAAATACAGGACATGTTAGGAGCACCTTGCTTGAAACTGCTTAATTGGTGCCAGATGTAATTCCATTCCTCAGAGACATCACATTCAAATTTGCTTTCCATCATCCTTAGAAGAAGAGGAGGGAGAAGAAAAATCTAGAACAAGCTTGTTGCCCAATACCAGCAATAGGTAACTTGAAAACATGTGTTTTGTCAATATTACTTGGTGAAACTCAAGCAGATATAATAAGTTAATAACTATCCACATGTCTAGCAAGCATATGCTGTAAGTCGAGTAAACTTGTAAACTAGCATAACTATTGAACACAAGAAATGCTAACTATTGAACTTTCGATTTGTCATAAACTAATGCTGACCTGTCTTTTGATTCTTTTTCTCCAAAGACATCAGAGAAGTAATAGCAGAAGAGAAATAAGGGATGGGATAAAGGTAGAGATCTTTGCCTGTTTATTAGCTGGATTTCGTCCCCACGAAAGGCGCACTGTTTGCTTGCCAATAGCAGTTCCATTCAGCTTCTGTAATGCTTTTTCTGCATCGTTTCTGTCGCAACAAATTAGATCCATTTGTTACTGAACTACTTACAGCCTAAGAGCAAGTTAATAATTTGGCAAATGACAACCGCAACCGACAACCTACCTTTTTGCAAACTGCACAAAACCACATCCTTTCCCAACTGGTATCTTTACAGAAGCTATTTCCCCATACTGAGCGAAAAGCTGTCTGAGATCCTCATCACTGACATGGGGGTCAAGACCTCCAACAAAAATCTACAATGATCATTGATTAGTCAAAGGAACTATAAAGCTAGAAAAGCAAAGGGAGGAACGAAAGACTAGTTAACAAACTGTTGTATTTGTAGAATCTACATCAGGTTGTGATCCTTGTGGCGATGCGCTATTGGAGTATCCACCTACCAAATCCATTTTGGAAGTATTAAATACAACAAAATTTGTCGACTTAACTACCACAATATTTGGTGTAAGTTCTTTCAAAAATGAACCATGATCTGAAATTAACAAGGAAACATATATTTACTGCAGTTCAAGGAAACTCATAAGTGCAATGCAGCTGAAAATCAAAACAGATGATTAGAAAAGGGAAGGAAATAGAATTCAGTTACTTGCTAGGTCCATACAATTTTTAACTACTATTATGAATCTCATTGTACTTTCACTTTTAAGTACCACATATTATCCTGAACATATTCCCTATACTAGTGCGGTCCAACATAAGAGAATCAATGTATTCTAACAACTCAAATGACAGTACTAAACACAAAACAAGGATCTAATATCCCACTAGAATAGACACTAATATAATTTCCATATTTTCTTTCTCTTTGGAGCGAGAAAGAGGTTAATGTCTTCCCTCCCCTCTTTTTTGGAATCGACTTCTCATAGCTCAAATGACAAGATTCACACTTCAATGAAAACTGTGGATGCAAACAAGCACATATACATATAACTTTAAAGTCACTTCGAAAAAGAGATGGTATGACTTTCAACTCCACGTTAGGAATTTAAATAACAATACAGAAATAGAGAACAAGGGAGGAACTGACTGAAGGCCAAGCAAAAAAATAAGACACCTTGCCAAGCAAACATTTGTAGATATACACAAGAAAACTCTAGGAACCGAAAATGAATTCAGTGACCTCTTAAAAGGGAGCAGTGGATACCGTGATAGCGCACAAACTGCTTAAAATAAGCATGGTAACCAAAAAGGTCAATACTACACTTCAAGGGCGATAATGATGCAGATGAATATAGCTTCTAGTGCGGAAACAATAGCAGCACCAGACTTGGTTAGCCAGTTCATCATTAAATACGAGTCCCAAAATAAAAACTATAAGAAGAAAGTAGGATCACATCTCCTTTTCCCCTTCCACCCAGTAGAGAATTCAGCATTGACTTGTTCAGATCAAACAGAGACAAAAAGGTATTCAAAACCAAAGCCACGTAGGAGACCTAGAAGAAGGTCAGTTCTTACCTAGTGAAGAATAGTGTTGTAGGTATCCAGATGATTTCCGTGGTGTGGCTGCACCAATTCGCATGGGCCTACTTGAACAATACACGCCATTCATTTCAGTCATTGCTTGCGACCTCTCATTATCGTCTGCAAACCTTACAAAACCATACCCTCTTGAACGACCAGTATTGACATCTACGACAACTTTAGCAGCTTTAACAGAAGGATATTTTTTAGCGAAGGTTTCATGTAGCAAGGTATCTGTAACATCTGCAGCTAAATCTCCTACAAAGATGGAAAGGCCAGAACCATTGTTTGATCTCTTGTCACCCGTGCTAAATGAAGCCCAATTCAAACGAAAAGGTTGATCTGCATTAGGCATTGTCATGCTAGAATATGTTTGCAGAACTTTCTCTGCAGCAGCATGTGAGTTGAATTCAACAAAACCATATCCCTCCAAGAAACCAGTGTGTTTATTGCGAATTATCTTGATGGAGGCAACCTGCATGAACAGGATATCTATTAGCAACAAATTGTGTGGCAAAAGAAGGTATTCCTTGTAAAAGTTTACTCCCTTTTTTCTGAGGAAAGTATGTTTTGGAAAAGCCATATATCACTTTCTTCAAGCCACCACTTTTTTCTTTATGACCGAGAAATCCGTCTAGGTCAAACCCTTAGGACCAAACGCAGCCTTCGAAACTCGGGAATAGCCCTGCCCCTCTACTCTCTACACTTAAATACCACGTTTAGTTCGCATGACGCAGGGCTTGAACATGTGACCCTTGCCATAAGCACCTCAACCGTTGCCACTTGAACTAAGCCCTGGGGGCTCTTCAAGACACTACTAAGTATAAGAAAATGGTTTACATGTGTCTAAGAGTCACTGCTTGCTTCATCGTAGGTTAAGCATATCACGCAATTGCTTGTGAGGAGGTGTCTACATAGTGTTAACTATTTATTCATTATTTTCCGACTTGGTTTGCATGATTAGTCCTGCTTATTGACATAAACATAGAAAGTGTTCTTGGTGAGAGTATGGAAAGTTGTGAAGCAGAAAATGCCACAGAAAGATTCTCTCTGAAGTCTCTCAGTAGTTACACAATATCTCCACTTTGGGTATTTTTCATACAATTTTTTCTACACATCATAAAAAGCATAAATGAAAAATGGAAGTTCTAAAACAATTTTTTTTTGCCTGTAAGCTTCCTCATTAAACCTGGTTTTCAGAGAAAGGTTTGCAACGGGAATGGGAAAATCTTTTGCATGAAATAAAACATATTGGATGTAAAAACCAGTATTAAACAACTTGTTCAGTGAAAAGCAAGCAGATGTTTTCAATACCATCATAACCTTCTCTTTAATTTTAGCAAGATTAAAAATAATTGAGAATTGAGATAAAGTCTGCAGACCATATTCAAATGTGATAAGAATGGACCTTGGGCCTAACTCAACCCCAAAAGCTAGCTTGTGAGGTGAGGATTGCCCAAGACCATATAAGGAGACCAAGATACCCATAACCCACTGATGTGGGACACAACTCAACACCCCCCCCTACGCCCAGACCTGCAACTGGAGCGTGGAGCCGTGGACAATATAAATGGGGGCCCAACATCGGTAATAATAAATTGGGATGGGTCTGGCTCTGATACCATGATAAGAATGGACCTTGGGCCTAACTCAACCCCAAAAGCTAGCTTGTGAGGTGAGGATTGCCCAAAACCATATAAGGAGACCAAGATACCCATAACCCACCGATGTGGGACACAACTCAACACCCCCTCCTCACGCCCAGGCCTGCAACTGGAGAGTGGACAATATAAATGGAGGCCCAACATAGGTAATAATAAATTGGGATGGGCCTGGCTCTGATACCATGATAAGAATGGACCTTGGGCCTAACTCAACCCCAAAAGCTAGCTTGTGAGGTGAGGATTGCCCAAGACCATATAAAGAGACCAAGATACCCATAACCCACCGATGTGGGACACAACTCAACAAAATGATGTATCATGTGATATTTTACTTGAAAGATTCCACAATTACCACTTTACACTTAGACTAACTGCAGAATATTGTGTGTGCGCTCTTGTCCAGCTATGTCCAAGAACAATTATGCTCAATCAGAAAGGTTATAACAAATAGCAAAATGCAAAGGCAATGCCACAGCGCTCAGAATTCTTCACTGAGGACGAGATAGACTTGTTGACTAACAAAGAACTGAAAAGCGCTTATCATGATTCAAGGTCTGGAACCTCAGAAGGATGACAGCCAAGTGTGCATGAGTTATTTGTGCATCAAAACTGTAAATTTGAATGTAAGTTGTTCTTTTCCTGATCCTTAAATCTTGAACTGTTGCAGCCACATATCGTGAACAATAAACCAAGGATTAAAGATGCAGGTACCATATCCTAACTGTCAAAACTTCAATGTGCAGACTGACACATGAAGGAAATAAATGGGAGAAATGCAACCTTGAAAATTTTGAAAACTAGATCCTATCTCCAAATCAAGAGGTTGAGGTCTAAACTCCAGCTAAGAATACGTGGCAACCTCTATAGAAGGCAATAGCTGTTAATTAAGGGAACTTTCTTTTAACAACCCCTTATTTGGTAGGTCGCAAAATCATGAAACAAAACTCATTCTATCTGATGACTATAAAGGGGAAAGGGGTTTCAAGGCCATTGAATTGTAGGACCTCTTTTTTTAAACATCTAAGGAGAATCTGGGGTCTGCAAGCATGAGTGCTCAGGTAAATCTAGAGTCTTAATACCGTCTTACACTACAAGCATCTCTTTGCCATACCGTCCTGATCAAGCTAAAGGAAACTACTTTTGCACAAAAGCATTTCCATATATACAGTCCTGAAATAGAATGACAGAGCACGTGTTTCCTTTTAGTAAGTACTTGACATCTCTAATCAATCATAAAAATGAATTAAGCAAGAGACGTATATAGATAACATTAATCACGTGTCTATAAACAAAAGTAACTATCAAATCTATGCGTTACATTTCAAAACCACGTATAGGTACGATATTGACATAACTATAACAGTGAGAAATAATGAACCTCATTGGTGGAAGCAAAGCAGGTGCGCAAGTAATCCTCGTCCATCCAATTATGAAGGTCGCCGACCCAAATCGTACGATTCTCGTTGTTGGATCCTCCACCTCTATTCTGCTGCTGTTGCTGCGGTGGATGGTGGTGGTGGTGTGGGTGATAGGGTATGTAGTGAGGTGGGTGCTGCATTACCATAGCCGCCGCCGGATACTGCATCGCCACCCATGGCTGCTGAGTCACCACTGGCACTACATTCGCCTCCGCCTCACTCACCGCCGCCTGTTGCGGCGGGGGTGAAGGCTGTTTATTCTCCGGCGTTTCAGGACCGTTGTTTGTTTCCATTATTTTAGACCTGTATTAAATATTCTCTACAGCCACTCAAAATCTGTAGAAAATAAATCGTATAGCTATATATGTTTTGTGTTTAATCTAGATAGAGATATATATGTGTAAGTATATATATGTGAATGTGAATCTGAAGCTTTATGGGAGATTGAAGAGAGAATAGAGATGGTGGCTGAAGAAGGGAGGATGTATATGTATATGAAGATGAGGATTGAGGATTCAGGGAACAATTGCACTGACGCGTATGATTTGTCTGCGCCGTTGGATTAACAGGTGGTTTGTGGTTATCCCTAGTTCTATTTAGGGTCGTTGCTACACCTACACCCGACATTATAATATGAAATTGAATAGTGATTAAATTATTTAATGAATATGTTCTTATTATTAATGTATATTAGTATTAGAACTCGCGCGGTATTAAAAAATACTAATTATTTCAAATTGTGATATCTGTTATTTTGAGCATATTAAATTATATATATATATATCTTACTCTTGGTACCTTTTTTATTACTTTATTTTTAATTTTATAAGTTAATCAGTAATATTTTTGTATATTATGTACTTACTTCATTTTTTTATTAATTCAAAGTATAAATGTCCTCATGTTATCTCTATCTCCCTATTTATACAGTTTTCAAAACTATTGTGATATTTTTAATTGGTTTTTTGCATCTAAAATTTTTACCCTTAATATCATATTTAGTAACTAATTTGTGATATTGGGTTTGTCCAAAGTAAAATCAAATTTGTTATTTTATTATAACATCTACTGATAATTTTTAATAATTTTTATTTTTGTATTATGTGTCATAACCAATTATCCATAGTTTGAGCATTCTCATCATAGTTTTAAGAATTTTCTAATCCCAAATTCAAATAGTCATTCCTTTTCATTTCTAGTAGTAAATTTTTAATAATTTAAAATAATTTTGCTATTTTCCTTATCTAATATATAGTCTTATTACATTTTATGTGACTTGTCATAAACTTGTAACTTTATTTAATATCATTATCAACTACCATTCTTTAATATAATATAGATAAATATATAACTTTTTTAATCAAAAAATAAATACTTATTTAGTTTTAAAAAGATTGCTTGAAATTTTTAAACTATTTAAATTTTAATAATATTTTTAGGTATTGTACATTTACTTTATTTTGTTTTCTAAACGTATGATTTATAAATATCCTCACATTATCTCTAATTTATTTTTATTATTCAATATTTTTAGTTTTTGATTTTATCTATTAGACTTGAATTACGTGGACTTATCCATATTATGACTTTTCTTATCACAATATAAAAAACTTTCTCATTTCAAATTTAAATTAGTTTAACCCTTTTTCTCTATGATAAAAAATCTGAATTTTTTTTTCTCTATTTATTATTTATTTTTGATATTGTATTATTCAATTCCTAATATTATTACATTGTCATGCGGATTTTTATTAGCTTATTTGAATTTAATATCTATTTCTACCACACTCATTCTAATATAATATAGATAAAAATTAAATAACTTTCTCATCTCAAATTCAAATAATCTTTATCATTCTATTTTCTAAATTGGATCGTATTTTCAAAAATTTATGTTATGCTTTCAAACTTAAACTAATTGCACTCAATTCAAATATTAATCATACAAAAATATTTTCTTAATTGTTTGAACATATTATATCTAAATGTTGTAGTAATATTTACGTATAAAATATTTATTTGCCCGATTTATCGATATTAATATGACTTTATTATTCTTGTTATTAAAATAGTTTTTACTGATTATTTAATTTTTTTCTTACCTTATAAATAATTTGTATACTTTATGTAAGATCTTATTTTGCTGCTTGAATTTATTTAATTTTAAACTCAATAAATCTTTAGCATCTTAAGTAAATTTCAGTTTTATTTTATATTTTAACTTACTCCAAAATATAAATAGTCATAGGTTATCTCAATTTACGTATTTTTATATTTTTATTTTTTTATTATAGTTTTTAATTAATTTTTTACCTCCATATTTCTACCTAACAAAGAAGAAAATCTATGACTGGATCAATATATAGATATAAATATAGATATAGATATAGATATAGATAACAATATACATTAAATATAAATATAGATATATAAATTATATTTGTCTAAGATCTATTTAGATTATGTATAAGATTCATTAAACTACTTTCATTAATTATGTTTTCATTTATAATTCAAGTTTTTAATGTTGTCTTAAAATTGCCAAGTGGCTTTTTTTTAGCCTGCCACTTGGTTTAACCGCATGCCTCACTACTCTCCTTTTAAAATAACTAGTATTAGTACCCGCGCAATGCGCGGATAAAAATTATGTCAAATTGTGATGTAGGTTATTTGAATCATGTGCGAATAACCTTAAATATAAACCTCTGAGATAAAAATTATATAACATTAGATATTAATTATGAAGCAGGATACCAAATTATTGTTCAAATCTCGTAGCGGACAATCTATTATATATATATATATTTGTAGTAGCATAACCCTTAATTTTAGTAATTGTATTTCGTTTCGCTGTCAA